TTTCATCATAGGTACACGTCAACTATGACAGACAAAATGAGAAAAAAAAATCCAGAAAATCACATTGTAGGATTTTTTATGAATTTATTTGCAAATTATGGTGGAAAATAAGTATTTGGTCAATAACAAAAGTTTCTCAATACTTTGTTATATACCCTTTGTTGGCAATGACACAGGTCAAACGTTTTCTGTAAGTCTTCACAAGGTTTTCACACACTGTTGCTGGTATTTTGGCCCATTCCTCCATGCAGATCTCCTCTAGAGCAGTGATGTTTTGGGGCTGTCGCTGGGCAACACAGACTTTCAACTCCCTCCAAAGATTTTCTATGGGGTTGAGATCTGGAGACTGGCTAGGCCACTCCAGGACCTTGAAATGCTTTTTACGAAGCCTCTCCTTCGTTGCCCGGGCGGTGTGTTTGGGATCATTGTCATGCTGAAAGACCCAGCCACGTTTCATCTTCAATGCCCTTGCTGATGGAAGGAGGTTTTCACTCAAAATCTCACGATACATGGCCCCATTCATTCTTTCCTTTACACAGATTAGTCGTCCTGGTCCCTTTGCAGAAAAACAGCCCCAAAGCATGATGTTTCCACCCCCATGCTTCACAGTAGGTATGGTGTTCTTTGGATGCAACTCAGCATTCTTTGTCCTCCAAACACGACGAGTTGAGTTTTTACCAAAAATATATTTTGGTTTCATCTGACATTCTCCCAATCCTCTTCTGGATCATCCAAATGCACTCTAGCAAACTTCAGACGGGCCTGGACATGTACTGGCTTAAGCAGGGGGACACGTCTGGCACTGCAGGATTTGTGTCCCTGGTGGCGTAGTGTGTTACTGATGGTAGGCTTTGTCACTTTGGTCCCAGCTCTCTGCAGGTCATTCACTAGGTCCCCCCGTGTGGTTCTGGGATTTTTGCTCACCATTCTTGTGATCATTTTGACCCCACGGGGTGAGATCTTGCGTGGAGCCCCAGATCGAGGGAGATTATCAGTGGTCTTGTATGTCTTCCATTTCCTAATAATTGCTCCCACAGTTGATTTCTTCAAACCAAGCTGCTTACCTAATGCAGATTCAGTCTTCCCAGCCTGGTGCAGGTCTACAATTGTGTTTCTGGTGTCCTTTGACAGCTGTTTGGTCTTGGCCGTAGTGGAGTTTGGAGAGTGACTGTTTGAGGTTGTGGACAAGTGTCTTTTATACTGATAACAAGTTCAAACAGGTGCCATTAATACAGGTAACGAGTGGAGGACAGAGGAGCCTCTTAAAGAAGAAGTTACAGGTGTGTGAGAGCCAGAAATCTTGCTTGTTTGTAGGTGACCAAATACTTATTTTCCACCATAATTTGCAAATAAATTCATTAAAAATCCTATAATGTGATTTTCTGGGTTTTTTTTCCTCAATTTGTCTGTCATAGTTGACGTGTACCTATGATGAAAATTACAGGCCTCTCTCATCTTTTTAAGTGGGAGAACTTGCACAATTGGTGGCTGACTAAATACTTTTTTTCCCCACTGTATGTATATACTGTATTCTATTCTACTGTAGTTAGTCAATGCCACTCCGACATTGCTCGTCCTAATATTTATATATTTCTTAATTCCATTATTTTACTTTTAGATTTGTGTATTGTTGTGAATTGTTAGATACTACTGCGCTGTTGGAGCTAGGAACACAAGCATTTCGCTACACCCGCAATAACATCTGCTAAATATGTGTATGTAACCAATTGAATTTTGAACTTTGTGGCAACAGTTTGGGGAAGGCCCTTTCCTGTTTCAGCATGACAATGCCCCCGTGCACAAAGGAGGTCCATACAGAAATGGTAGGTCGAGATCGGTGTGGAAGAACTTGACTGGCTTGCACAGAGCCCTGACCTCAACCCCATCGAACACCTTTGGGATGAATTGGAACACCGACTGCGAGCCAGGCCTAATCGCCCAACATCAGTGCCCGACCTCTAATGCTCTTGTGGCTGAATCGAAGCAAGTACCCGCAGCAATGTTCCAACATCTAGTAGAAAGCCTTCCTAGAAGTGGAGGCTGTGTGCTCAATCTTATACACCCGTCAGCAACGGGTGTGGCTGAAATAGCCGAATCCGCTAATTTGAAGGGGTGTCCACATACTCTTGTATACATAGTGTACATGTAAAATATATTGATGATTGTAGGCCCACAGCCCCCTCCCCATATAAAGGGATAACAATCATAACATCAATCCCATCCCGTGGGTATCATACTGTACTTACAGTCAGGTCCATAAGTATTTGGAGAGTGACACAATTTGCATCATTTTGTCTCTGTACACCACCACAATGGATTTGAAAGGACACAATCAAGATGTGCTTTAAGTGTAGACTTTCATCTAAGGGTTTTGTCAAAATTAATTTATGAACCGTGTAGGAATTACAACCATTTTTATACATCGCCCCCCAATTTTAGGGGCTCAAAAGTAATTGGACGAACTAACATAATCATAAATTAAATTGTGAGTTTTAATACTTGGTTGCAAATCTTTTGCAGTTAATGACTGTCTGAAGTCTGGAACCCATAGACATCACCAGATGATGGGTTTCTTTCCTGGTTATGCTCTGCCAGGCCTTTACTACAGCTGTCTTCAGTTCCTGCTTGTTTTTGCCTTCAGCAAGTGAAATGCAGTCAGAATGGCGCCCAAGAAGATGGCAGCCGTTTTACAGCCCTCTAACCAATTGTATGTGTGTAAACTGCATTGTTGGTTATGGGCTTGTAAGTAAGCATTTCATTGTATTCGGCGCATGTGGAAAATAAATTTGATTTGATGCATGCTCAATTGGATTCAGGTCAGGTGATTGACTTGGCCATTGCAGAACATTTCACTTCTTTGCCTTAAAAAAAAGTGTTGGGTTGCTTTCGCAGTGTGCTTCGGGTCATTGTCCATCTGCACCGTGAAGCGCCGTCCAATGAGTTTTGAAGCATTTGGCTGAATCTGAGCAGATAATATAGCCCTAAACACTTCAGAATTCATCCTCAAGGGAACCATTTCCATCCATTGGCAGCCATACATGCCCACGCCATAACACTAACTCCACCATGCTTCACAGATGAGGTGGTATGTTTCGGATCATGAGCAGTTCCTTCCCTTCTCCATACTCTTCTCATCATTCTGGTACAAGTTGATCTTTGTCTCATCTGTCCATAGGATGTTGTTCCAGAACTGTACATGCTTTTTTAGCAAACTCTAATCTGGTCTTCCTGTTTTTGAGGCATACCAATGGTTTACATCTTGTGGTAAACCCTCTGTATTTACTCTGGTGAAGTGTTCTGTTGATTGTTGACTTTGACACAGATATGCCTACCTCCTGGAGGGTGTTCTTGATCTGGCCAACTGTTGTGAAGAGGTTTTTCTTCACCAGGGAAATAATTATTCTGTCATCCACCACAGTTGTTTTCCGTGGTCTTCTGGGCCTTTTGGTGTTCTTGAGCTCACTAGTGCATTCTTTATTTTAAAGAATGTACCAAAAAGTTGATTTGGCCACACCTAATGTTTTTGCTATCGCTCTGATGGGTTTGTTTAGATTGTTCAGCCCAATGATGGTAAATACCCTAAAATTAGAGCTGAAAGTCTGCACTTTCAGCTCATATTCATAATTTAATTTCAACTCCAATATGCTGTGGTAGACTGCTAAAATAATAATAACTTGGTCAATGTCCAAATATTTATGGACCTGTCTGTACATATAGCTAAATCTATGAGCCCAGCCCATAGCAGCAGGATCTTCAGTCTATAGAGATGAGGACCACTTCTCTGACCTATTATAACTAAAAGAAAACAAGATTGTTTTCAGCCTCCTGAATATGACAAGTTCGATCAGGCTCCGCAACATCTTACATTCTCATGGATAGACAGAAATTCTCACTCTCACCGAAACCAGACACTTTGGGGGAGTGTATGCCAGTAAATTCTGCTCAGGCCTGATGTGGTTCCTGAGACGATTAATACTTCTTCATGCCCCGCTCTGTAGATCTTTATTAGGAACTCACCTAGTGATGCCAGCAAGTCTAAGCAGCAGTTCCCTTTTATGAGATAAAAATTTAGAGATAGAGAATGAGATCTAACAGCGCAGAATTGTTGAAATTAAAAGGTACTTCTACGCAGTGTCACTGTCAACATCCATGTTCAGAATGACACAGATCTGGTAAAAGATAATACAAAAAAACTTGTTCGTTCCGTCATCTTTGAAATGCATTTGAATATAAAATTGATTTTATCAAACAAAACTATGCTACATTTTATCTCTGGGACCCTTAGGATGACAAATCAGAGCAAGATTACTGAATGTAAGTACATTATTTACCTTCAGAGGTGAATGTATCAAACCAGTTGCTGTGATACGTTTTTTGTTGTTGTGCACTCTCCTCAAACAATAGCATGGTATTCTTTCACTGTAACAGCTACTGTAAATTGGACAGTGCAGTTAGATTAACAAGAATTTAAGCTTTCTGCCCATATAAGACGTCTATGTCCTGGAAAGTTTGCTGTTACTTACCGTAGTCATGCTAATCACAGTGCACGTTAGCTTAACCGCCCCGTATACGGGACAACGATCCTGTAGAGGTTAACATAGATCGTGCAGAGAAAGATCTGAGCTATAAAACCACACAACCAAATTACATGGTTAGGGAGCTAGAATTTCAGTAATCAGAATTAAGTGAATCAGCCCTGTTTGATTTCTTAATTCCACTATACTCAGGAACCAGTGCACCATTAAACTAGCCTGGCTGACCGCAACCCACATGGTACACTGAGTCAGGACTTCCAATTTGGTTTTAGGACTTAGTTTGGTATCAGCCAAACTACCATAACACAGCATTGGAACATACATTTTCAGACTTTACCATGTTGTTGGTGGCAAGCAACCAACCCACAAAATGGCACCATTTTCTGTGAATTGAATCATAAAACACAGCTTATTTTGTGTGTGATTCTGTATCGATACATGTGGCGGAATTTAAGTCAACAACAATGCAAAAATGAATCAACCTTTATTTACCGACAGAGGTCTATAATAGCAGGGTTAGAGTTCACACATCTATAGAGCACTTTGCTGATCCACACATAACTGTATTTATTTCAGAGCAATTACGCAGTAGTGCCGCAGTAGGGAACCAAAGGTAAAATCAAAATGGAGGATATTCAACCACCACAGGAAATACTGCAGGAGCAGGTTCACAATGGCATCAGTATACTGGGCCCTGTTCAGCAGGGTAAGATGTACAGAGCGTTGAAGATCGATGCCATGAGCAGAGCAGACATGACTTCCTCTACATTTCAGAGGAGCACATCTGTTCTATATTAAGTATATTTCTATTTGAACTTTGCGTGACGCGGTGCCCTGCTGAACACTGCCCTGGAGTGGAGTGTTTAAACAGTGCGAGAAGGTCTGAGGGCTTCCAAAGGACCAAGGCTGCAGCTCAATAGTCTAAAATTGGCTTCCTCTCCTTTCCTCGGACCTGAACTAAATGTCAACTGTGTTTCCAGCTCAGTGCAGTATAGAGGAAACAAGGAGAGGAAGCCACTGTACACCATTGAGACACAGCCCAAGAGTGTGTAAATGAAACAGTACAGTGGGAAATGTTCACCTTTAGAGCCACACGAGCCAAAGATGTCAGTGATACATTTTAAATAATTGAAGTATTCCTTCCCCGTGCAAGTGATCTATTGAGTCATTTGGAAGCTCTTTTCTATACAAAATACCTTTTAATACAGAAGTGATTTAGGCTCCATTTTAACAATTTGTTGAGTGTAGGTACAATCACTAGATCAACGAATGTCCCTATCTGCACCATCAGAAATAATACAATCTCACTCGAAGATCTCTTACCATGAAAATAGTTTACTTTTACAGGCCTACATCAGAGGTCTAGGCCTTACTTAAAAAATTATATAATTCACAAAACCCCAGAACTAAAGCAGTCAAAATCTCACTGAGTGATGATGCAGTAACCTCTTCAGAAATGTGCAGGGATTGGGTTCCATCCCTGCACAGCCTACCAAGCTATGGGCCACCACAAGCTCAAAGAATAACTCTTCTCATACCTTATATTTGGAAATGCATATTTTCAAGCAGCAATACAAAAAAGTATTCACGAAGAACGCATAATCTCTGAAAAAAATACCGTATGAAAACGTCCCTGCTACCTTGTTTCTAAGTACAAAACCTCCGGAAGTAGCAACAAGTCCTTTTCTTTTTTCTTAGTTTTTTTTATTTTTCCTGTTTTTTTTCTGTTTTTCCAAAACGGGTAAAATTCAGTCCTCAGATGCAAGTGTCATGGGCGATGACAGTCATCTCCATCATATCATTTTTGCTCAAGGATCCAGAAACATGCAAGCCTCGTAGAGGGGCCTAGGGGTCTGCCTGGGGGCCTATGGGGCAGCCGCTCCATCTTAGGCCAGGGCCGGGAAGGCCTCTGGATCATCCACGTTGGGCACAATCACCCCACTTGGCTGAGAGGAGGGTTAGAGGGTTGGGAAAACAAGAGGAAACGAGATTGATCAGACATATACAGTGAAATGATGACCATGTCTGTTGTACTTAAAGAATCCAAATTCCTTTTAATCTCATAAATCCTTTCCACAGCAGCCATAAGACTAGTAGTAATTAGTATTATTTACCCTGTCAGTGCGTCCTCCGCGAGTCGGCCTGGTGGGGGCTCCACCATCACGCTCGCGGGGCTCTCTGGGCTCACGCTCACGGAACTCTCCACGGAACTCTCCTCTGCCCTCTCCGCGCCCACGGCCCCCCCTGCCGCCACGGGGCCCACCACGACCACGGCTTGGACGACCAAGGTCCCCAAAGTTTATCTCCAGTTGGGCTGTGATGTCATTGGCCGGCTTCCGGAAGTGGTGATCGTCCTCTGCCTGAGAGACCGGGGGGGAGAGAGAACGTCATCAATGACAGAACACACGCCTGAGCCACCTCTGAACAGAGTGCTGGCTGTAATTTGCAAACCCAATTCTACACGTAGAAATAGGCGAAAATGACAGCTGTCAGTCGCCCACCGGCAGGTGGTCCCTATAACCACCTAGCCGACAGCAAGCGAACGGCCCCTTACTGTGCAGACTGACAATCGTTCTGGCAAGTTCTGCTTTAAAGGGATAGCGCAAGATTTTGGCAATCAATCCCTTTTTATACTTAACCAGACTCGGATGAACTCATGAATACAATTTTAAAGTCACTGCATGTGTAGTCTAAAAATTGAGAGTGAACAAATGTGAACGACGAAGGCCAGTGATGAAGATACTGAAGCCCAGCATGATGACTCAATCACCATTTATGATATTGTTTGGATGCCTGACTATCTGTGGGCTATCACAGGGGTCAAACACACCTTATCTGTGGCTTTCTCCGAGGCGAGATGTTCCCACAGAACCCTGGAAGCACGGACACCGTTGGAGGTGTGAAGACGGATGAAAACGTAAAAATCGACGAAATGAATGTTACTGTGTCAATTAAATTCTTATGTTTGGATTGTTTCAAGAGTTCATAAAGAGCTAAGAATTTGTACATGTTTTATTGTACTGTAAGTGCTATGGATTTATTGTTGCAGAGAAACTGTGTTATTCGGTCACCGGATGGCAGTCAGTTCAGAGGGAGCGACACAGATGTGCGCTCCTATCATTTAGATAAGAGTTATAATCCAAGCATGCTAGCTGTTTCTGTGAAATTCCAGTCATTGTGCTAACGCTAGTTAGCAATAGCTTGCAAAACTACCTTCAACTTCCTTCCAACTGCTATCCTTGAGTTCCATTGGTAGGCAGAAAAATATCCTTTAATGTTTATGTGGAGAGTGTGTGAGCGCGTCTGTTGGATGGGATACTCACCTTAGGGGCAACGGCCTCAGCCTCCACCGCAGCTTCAATAAGAGCATCAGCTTTCTTCTCCTTTATTGGAGAGGGATGAAAACATAGGAGGTTATGGAAAACAAAATGGAGGCTAAGTCAGTATTGTGGTTTTGACAATCTACTCACGTCCTTGGACTTGTGCAGCACGTATCCTTTCTTCCACAGGCTGTCGGCTCCCTCGTTGGCCTTGCGGATGTTGAACTCCACCTTGGTTTTCTCCTTGTCCTGCTGGGCCTTCCATTCATCCAGAGTCATCTCCTTGGGTTCCACTTCCTTAGGTTCACCAACCTCGTTCTCCCTACAACACACAGAGCAGAAAACAGAACTGTAAGAACGCACAACTGGCTGGAGAGTATGAGAAATATGGTGGAGAAGCCATCCAAACCACGCTTTTAAATCCCTGAGAGGGAGTGAACGAGTGCACACTTTGGGCAGGAGAGGGAGAAATGGTTTAAGGCTCAGCCCTCAACTCACTTGTTCTCAGAGTCAGCGGGCCGAGGCTCCTCTCCCTCGGGGGTCTCCTCGGTCACGTTCGATTGGTCGTGCTCGCTGTGGAGAGGAAAAAAACTAGTTTAGCTCTCATACATTCAGTATGTTGACAGGTGACCAGGACAGTATAGTGACCAGGGGTCTTGAATCAACAAGTTGACTTAGTTTACACACAACTGCACAAGGTAAATCAAAACCCTTCCTTGTGGTTTGCAGACAGCCTTTTCGAGAAAGTCTACAGAGAAAATGTGTTGTTGTGCTAGGTCGGCAGTGCTACTCACCCCATCTCATCCTTGACGGTGCCCCAGTTGTGAGATCCACTTCCTCCACGTTTCTCCTCACCTTTCTGGCTGCTGAAACGACATGGGCTTTAGCTCACAGCTTCACTTCAATAGTCTCTCCAGCAAAAAACCTAGTTTATCTCAATGAGCCTACCGGGAAGGATTTTTTTTATTTTTATAATTTGTTCTTATACTTCTAGCACCAGTTTCCCAGACACAGATTAAGCCTAGTCTTGGACTACAAAGCAATCTCAATGGATAATCTCTGCAGAAAATTATTTTCAGTCCAGGGTTAGTCATAATCTGGACTAAAAACCTAGTTAGAATAGAGATTCTACATTGAGCATGCCATTTAGAACTGGAGTAGGAAATCTGCCTAATAATAAGATATGACTTATCCATCCTGGAGTTTGCTAGCTAGCTACATAATTCACAACATGACACAGAAGACGTACGACCGATCACTGCCACTGTGTCTGTCGAATTCACGCTTTCCTCGGGCGTCGAAGCCGTCGCTCCTGCCCATGCCCCGGCCCCTGCCGCCACGGACACCACCTCGGCCACCACCACGTCCTCTCATCGGCCTATCACCAATGGGCCTGGGGAAACAGACAAGGAAACCGACCAATCAGCAGGCTGCTTCACAGGAAGGAACAGGTGATGTGCATTCAGTGAGGTGAAACATTGCACATAGAAATGTAACGAATAGAGCCGACATCCTCACGAACAGACCCCAGTACACGACTAATGGAAGATAAACATTAAGTGGTACAATGAGGACCCAAAACACGTGTGAAAAATCACCAATACTGTGAACTACACTGAAACAGTGTTATGCCACAGCCATACAGAACTAGTCTTTCCTTAGAGTAGAGTCCTGCACGGTTCCGTTTTTTGGAGCAGCACCCGTCCCTGCCACATGAAGTCCGAGCCCCACCCGATATCAGGAAAATATTTTTCTCTGCAACCCGACCCACCCGGATAGATAGAATTGTTCCAAGAGCCGATCCGTTACCCGCCATATAACATCAATATGTATTTAATTGTTTTTATGACTCCAGAGTAGTAGGCTTTATTATTAGGCTATTATTACTATTCCACTTCCCTGCATGACTATTCAACATTTGGATAAACGGAAACCATACCATGAATTAAGAACTATATACTTTTTATTTTCATAATCAATGAGTCACTCAAACCACTGAGAAAAAATAGCCTTCTAATTAGCCTTCTTACCTATAATGAAAGCCTATAGCTTACAAAACAATTCCTTTAAAAAAATGTTTGTTTAGACAATCAAATAGTTCAGGCCTAATTAAACCATTCCCAGAATCGATTACGTTATAGGCCTGCATATGGTCTAATGAACGAATTAATGTAATAAATAACTGAATTATCACAAACAAATAGGCCTACCTGCTTGCACTTTGCAGGCTATATATCTACCGCATTGTTATCCTTCCAAATTGGGGATTTCACTCGTGCAGCAACTGTTACCACGATGGTGTTGTAGCCTATTCCCTTATCATAACCTTTCTTTTATGTCTCCAGTTAGGCCTACGCTAGCCATTTTTGCGTGAGCTAGGCTATCCAGGGAAAGTAAACTTGGCAACGTGTCATATTCTCACGTGAGGAGAGGGAACATGAGCTCTGCGTGTGGACAGTAGAACGTTTTGGCACCACACAAATAAGGGACAGTTCCCGGCTCCACACACACACACAACGCGTGCGTAGGTGGTAGCCTTATGGCTGCCTCGCCGGTCACAGAATGGAATTAGCAACACAATAAGCTCCTGGGTTTAAAAAAAGTTTATTATCTTGCTTTAAAATGTTTCCAGCCCACAATGTAATTGTTCTGAACCCCGACCCGACCCACGGGTTGAAAGAACATTCATTCCACCCGCCGGCTGATATTTTTGCGGCTCACCGGCGGGGAACCATCGGTCTCCGACACGATGCAGGACTCTACCTTTAGAGTAATCACTGTTGAATTGTGAGTTTTAAAAAACGTTCACCTGGCTATTCATGATCGACCAGCAACTCTTTCCACAAAGGAAAGGCGTATTTGAAATGCATCAAAACCGGGTTTTATATGTTTACCACCACACTTTACATACACACCCTGCTGTGCAGTTACAGTTTAAGCTAAGTGGCACGGTAAAGTTGAAAACCATCAGTGAAGGTAGCGTGACTTAACAGTAGTGGTGGAGTGGAACCCATAATTAAGGTGCGGTTGGGTTACCTCTGACAGCCTGAGGGGAAATATTCCTGTCAAATAGAGAAGGGGGTTGTTTTTGTTTACACAACGACTGGTTAGTTTACATTTTAAAGTGAGAAAGTCCTACATTAGAAGGCCAGTGTGGGTTCAGTCTTTTGTATCAAAGTCTTAACACTAGAACCGCTAAAGCAGTCATTTGGACTGCTCATGATTTTTTAAAAATGTATTACTCTGCCATTTTTAAAGTCATGCCCCCCTCCGTCCTTGACATTTCCTAAATAAGTATATAATACAATGTCGTTAGAATTTTAATATCACAAACCGAACTGGAATTATAATCAGTTTTAGGAGGGCATGTCATTTTTTATGGTTTTCCCGTTGCCCCTACTTCTCCCAACAGTAGGGCCTGCTCAGCTCCTTCTCCCAATAGTTGAAGGTGCTGTGCCCAGTTGTTCATCACCCTGATAATTGCATCAAAACTGCGCCTACACTATACCAAAGCTAATTTCACACATAACAAATTCATTTAAGTATGCTGGGGGAGAAGAGTTGATGAGCACGGGGAATCGATCGATGCATAATTCTGTAATCACCAATTGTGAATGAACAGTGCGGCCCATTCTACTGTATTGATCTACTAATTATAATCTCAAAATGGTACGTACCATATACAGTTGATGTCGGAAGTTTACATACACTTAGGTTGGAGTCATTAAAACTTGTTTTTCAACCACTCCACAAATTTCTTGTTAATAAACTATCGTTTAGGACATCTACTTTGTGCATGACAAGTAATTTTTCCAACAATTGTTTACAGACAGATTATTTCACTTATAATTCACTGTATCACTACTCCAGTGGGTCAGAAGTTTACATACACTAAGTTGACTGTGCCTTTAAACAGCTTGGAAAATTCCAGAAAATGATATCATGGCTTTAGAAGCTTCTGATAGGCTAATTGACATCATTTGAGTCAATTGGAGGTGTACCTGTGGATGTACAGTGGGGGAAAAAAGTTTTTAGTCAGCCACCAATTGTGCAAGTTCTCCCACTTAAAAAGATGAGAGGCCTGTAATTTTCATCATAGGTACACGTCAACTATGACAGACAAATTGAGATTTTTCCCCCCAGAAAATCACATTGTAGGATTTTTAATGAATTTATTTGCAAATTATGGTGGAAAATAAGTATTTGGTCACCTACAAACAAGATTTCTGGCTCTCACAGACCTGTAACTTCTTCTTTAAGAGGCTCCTCTGTCCTCCACTCGTTACCTGTATGAATGGCACCTGTTTGAACTTGTTATCAGTATAAAAGACACCTGTCCACAACCTCAAACAGTCACACTCCAAACTCCACTATGGCCAAGACCAAAGAGCTGTCAAAGGACACCAGAAACAAAATTGTAGACCTGCACCAGGCTGGGAAGACTGAATCTGCAATAGGTAAGCAGCTTGGTTTGAATAAATCAACTGTGGGAGCAATTATTAGGAAATGGAAGACATACAAGACCACTGATAATCTCCCTCGATCTGGGTAGAGCAAGATCTCACCCCGTGGGGTCAAAATGATCACAAGAACGGTGAGCAAAAATTCCAGAACCTACTGTGAAGCATGGGGGTGGAAACATCACGCTTTGGGGCTGTTTTTCTGCAAAGGGACCAGGACGACTGATCCGTTTAAAGGAAAGAATGAATGGGGCCATGTATCGTGAGATTTTGAGTGAAAACCTCCTTCCATCAGCAAGGGCATTGAAGATGAAACGTGGCTGGGTCTTTCAGCATGACAATGATTCCAAACACACCACCCGGACAACGAAGGACTGGCTTCGTAAGAAGCATTTCAAGGTCCTGGAGTGGCCTAGCCAGTCTCCAGATCTCAACCCCATAGAAAATCTTTGGAGGGAGTTGAAAGTCTGTGTTGCCCAGCGACAGCCCCAAAACATCACTGCTCTAGAGGAGATCTGCATGGAGGAATGGGCCAAAATACCAGCAACAGTGTGTGAAAACCTTGTGAAGACTTACAGAAAACGTTTGACCTGTGTCATTGCCAACAAAGGGTATATAACAAAGTATTGAGAAACTTTTGTTATTGACCAAATACTTATTTTCCACCATAATTTGCAAATAAATTCATTAAAAATCCTACAATGTGATTTTCTGGAGAAAAAAATTCTCATTTTGTCTGTCATAGTTGACGTGTACCTATGATGAAAATTACAGGTCTCTCATCTTTTTAAGTGGGAGAACTTGCACAATTGGTGGCTGACTAAATAATTTTAGTCTGACTAAATACTTCCCCCACTGTATTTCAAGGCATACCTTCAAACACAGTGCCTCTTTGCTTGACATCATGGGAAAATCAAAAGATATCAGCCAAGACCTCTGAAAAACAATTGTAGACCTCCGCAAGTCTGGTTCATCCTTGGGAGCAATTTCCAAACGCCTGAAGGTACTACGTTCATCTGTACAAACAATAGTACGCAAGTATAAACACCATAGGACCACGCAGCCGTCATACCGCTCAGGAAGGAGACGCGTTCTGTCTCCTAGAGATGAACGTACTTTGGTGCGAAAAGTGCAAATCAATCCCAGAACAACCGCAAAGGACCTTGTGAAGATGCTGGAGGAAACAGGTTCAAAAGTACCCATATCCACAGTAAAACAAGTCCTATATCGACATAACCTGAAAGGCCACTGCTCCAAAACCACCATATAAAAGCCAGACTACAGTTTGCAACTGCACATGCGGACAAAGATCGTACCTTTTATTTTTATAAATGTCCTCTGATCTGATGAAACAAAAATAGAACTGTTCGACCATAATGACCACTGTTACGTTTGGAGGAAAAGGGAGTAGCTTGCAAGCCGAAGAACACCACCCCAACCGTGAAGCACGGGGGTGGCAGCATCATGCTGTGAGGGTGCTTTGCTGCAGGAGGGCGCTTCACAAAATAGATGGCATCATGAGGAAGGAAAATTATGTGGATATATTGAAGCAACATCTCAAGACATCAGTCAGGACGTTAAAGCTTGGTCGCAAATGGGTCTCCCAAATGGACAATGCATACTTCCAAAGTTGTGGCAAAATGGCTTAAGGACAACAAAGTCAAGGTATTGGAGTGGCCATCACAAAGCCCTGACCTCAATCCTATAGAAATGTTGTGGGCAGAACTGAAAAAGCGTGTGCGAGCAAGGAGGCCTACAAACCTGACTCAGTTACACCAGCTCTGTCAGGAGGAATGGGCCAAAATTCACCCAACTTATTGTGGGAAGCTTGTGGAAGGCTTCCCAAAACATTTAAGTTAAACAATTTAAAGGCAATGCTACCAAATACAAATTGAGTATGTAAACTTCTGACCCACTGGGAATGTGATGAAATAAATAAAAGCTGAAATAAAATCACTCTACTATTATTCTGACATTTCACACTCTTAAAATAAAGTGGTGTTCCTAACTAGGATTAAATGTCAGGAATTGTGAAAAAACTGAGTTTAAATGTATTTGGCTAAGGTGTATGTAAACTTCCGACTTCAACTGTATCAGTCCATCAAATCCAAGCAGTCTTATCAATCTACTCTGGCCTACTTGGAGTACACAGTGAAAGCGTGCGTAATGGACCAAGACGAATGGATGCACATGCTGTGTTAGCGTTGCTACAGAATCTGAACGAAAACAACTCAGATGGTAGGGAAGAAATGAATCATGACATCTCTGATGATTATTCTTCTGATTCTGAGCCTCAGCCTGAACCTACACTTCCGAGGTCTAAGCGCAAAAAAAACAGAACGTGCGCACTGAGAAGGTGCCAATGCCACCACCAAATGAAACGGTGAGACAGGAGAGGAAGGGACAACACCGTTTAGATAGAACAAGTCGGTGACAATGCTACTTGCCGATAACCAGCACAAAATGTCTTACATTTACATTTTAGTCATTTAGCAGACGCTCTTATCCAGAGCGACTTTCTTCACTGAGAGTAGACCCTACATCACAAGAAAAAAACAATATCAGCAACGTTTCGTTGTTTATGTGACATGAACATGCTCCAACTGATGCCATTGTGTGAAGACGCACACCATGTAAGCGCAAGCTGACAATAATTTACCATTTATGACTGCTGTCATATTGACAAAGTTATTATAATGCCATTATTGCTTTGTGGCAATTTTCACTATTTATCAAGCCCACTTGGCACTTATGTTTAGGCTACTGATGTTTTCATTAGACCATGCAGCTTGATGACCCCGGGTACAGGTGGCCGTGGTATTTTTTGTATTTTGTCGTTATAAAAACAAGCTGTTACCTCGTTCCAACACATAGGCCTTCTGTTTCATAGTTGTAACAAAGGCACTCCACAAATAAAATGGATTGAACGCTTGAATGTGTTTAGTGTTTTTACATATACCCTATAATAACAAACTAATTAAAATGCTATTGTGTTATTTTAAATAAAAAAAATTGTATTCTAATGTTACCCAAGACCTTCATAAACATAACCACATTATTATTTTTGTGATAGCATATATGAAATGTATTAATTACAATGTTAGAATTTTGCAGTCAGAATTACTGCTCATTAGCTTGAGGGGGGGGGGGGGGGGGGTCCCTCGAGGCCCAGCAGTTCTACTGTTAAATGAGGACTAACATCAGTTTATTTGTGAAATCAGATGGGTTACTGCTTGGCTGGAACAAGGGCCTGCACTCACACAGATCTGAGTAGTGTTATTGTTGGGGTTAGTACCGCTTCCTTTCACTCCTTAAAAAAAAAAATATATCCTGTTGGTGCCAACTGAACGCAGCCCTGCTCTACCCAGTACTTACTTCTCCACAGAGAACTCTCCTCCCTCGGCTGGCTTATCTTCTCCGCCGGGGGGCCTCTCGAAACGGCGTGGTGGCCGCCTGTCTGTCCGGGGGGGTCTGTCTGTAGGGGGGCGGCCCTCGCCCTGGCCCTCACGGGGTGGACCCCCAGCTGGGCCCTGACCCTCACGCCTGGGACCCATCCTCCTGGGACCAGGTCCTGGTGTAGGACAGAACAGAGGAGGAGTGTTAGTAAGTGATCCCCTAATAAAACGAGTAATTTTCTGCATACATTTTCTAGCCAAAATAGGGGGGTGTAATAGAGACTACAGTTAGAGCTTTCCTCAAGACCAGTCTCCAAAAGAGAGCAGGTCTGACGTGCTGAACTGGAGTGTAAGGACACATTATTAAAATATGGAGAGAATTGAAATAACATGCAAACTTCTTCATAAACAGATAACCTGAGGTTGAGCTTTGTATTATCCACCATACCAGTACACAGCAGATGAAAACATGCCCTGAGACTGGTCTGACAAGTCCCTCCCACTGTTGACCAAAATAGACTCCCACCCCTACACCATGCACCCCCAGCAGCTGAAAGCACGTTGGTGCATGCACCTGTCTCTTCTTCTCTTGGGTTTCCATTTTTTGACTTTGCTTCTGACTGGTGCAACTAGGTTGGAAACTGCTAACAAAATACAGGGGCCTCCTATTTTACTTGTACATGTTTTATAACTAGATCAGTCTACACTACTAATCATGACAATGTATAGGCGAGTAACACTAGTCTACTCACTCAGACGTCGTAAATTATAATGTAATTGTTTGGTCCATTTATATTGTCATCTGTAACCTTATTTGTTCACCTAGTAGCAACAGCGAACATCCTCGTGAAGCTTCGTTATTTGACGAAAAAACAAAACGCCCATATTCACATTCACAACCGCGCTACGCAGGATGACATCATTCCCTGCTTAGTCGAGAACATGTTGTGCGCCATTTAGCAAGTGACAGTTCGGTGGCTGCGGCTGTTTCACACCCCAAACCAGAGCCACGAGGTTGATCACGACGTGGGTTAATGCAGGTAGCGAAAGACTAGCGAGCTACCTAGCTAGCCAATTCGTCTAACGTTAACTAGTTAGAAAACAATCTAAAATGTTAACCTAGCACGATCGCTTTACTTGTGAAAGTTGGCTTACACCCCGGTGTGAACACACGGTTACCTTGGTAAACAATTTGTTGCACAAAACTGACAATTCGCCAATCGTGCATTTAATAAATATATACTAATTAAACACGGATCAACAGGTAGTTGTTAGCAAGCTAGCAAATGACTTTGGTTAGCTAACGTTAGCCAATTAACTTGCGGCTAACAATCCTGGCTAAGCAAGGCCCCGAAGGAAGAGGCGTTTTAATATTGGCAACAAAACAAGTTCGCCTGCAAGTTCGTTTTCAGGGGGCACAATATTGTACCACACCAAGTTACACTGTCGTGATTTTTTTTTTGCAACGACTGCGATAACAAAAGTCTCAGCTTTAGTTGACAAAATGAATCATGTCGACCTCATGGAGGCTTTGAAACCATTGCTAGCTAAGTTAGCTAGCTAACGTAACGTTAATACTTAACTATCCAGGGCGAACTGCGATTTTGCAGATCAAACGGACAATTATTGCGGGAAACAGTCTTACCATCTTTCTTCAGAGTCACGGGTGCCAGAGGCTCATCTTTCTTATCTGCAGGGACGACCTTTCTGTCTTTCTGGGACTCCTTTTTCTGGAGCTTGGCGGCTTGAGCCGCGGTCTTGGCGGCACCAGGGACAGGAGCCTCCTTCTTCTTGTTCTCCGCCTCCTTCAACAGCTCGAACGGGTCCGACTCGTCGTCAAATAGTTGGTCGAATCGGTTGGCTATGGCGCAGCCGAAACCTTCTTGCATATGTCCGGGCATGATGGCGCCCCTTCAGCAGGATTTTCCTCCGATTCTACGAGGCTTGGTGCGAACACTTCGCTAGATGTTGCCACAAGATGGCTGGGGAAAGAACCTTCTTCTCTTCCGGCGTGATAGACATCCGGGACCTAAACTTTGGCGCCGGGTGGGGCGTGTAGTTCTTTGATGAGGGAGAGTGTCGGAAAAACATAAGGGGCGGCTCACCCAAATAAACTACAGTACCCACAACGAGGGACGAGTTAATGGTTTAGCTTTTCTCCAATTTACAAACATGAACGCTCATGCTGTCTGTTGTAGTTTGCAATTTGCATTCAAGCATTTACTTTGTATGAGGCTTGTATGGGAGATCTTTCCCACCCTTTCTATACTCTAAATCCACTGTATACACACACACACACCTAATAGCCATACTTGCTCTCAAACCTTTTGCTACATTGTTGCTCCATAGAATGCATCCACAGTTCTTTGCCATGTCAATTAGGCCTAGACCTGACCAAGTCTGACTTCCAAATCGAAAACACTGTTCTGGTAGTCACCTGAGACATCTGTGCATAATTCAGAGCAGTCAATAGTTTGTGATCTTTTTAGGTATCAGTATATGTTGGTTTGCTGTGTGTAGGCCCTAGGGGCTATTGATAATTTCATTGCATATGGGGAGGAATGCTGATCAGCAATTTACAGTGAGTAACACAGAAAGTGTGGGGGCCAGCTAGTGTGTGAACCACTTTAGATGGATGCTGCTAGCTAAAATAAAACCAGGGGTCATCATCAAACAGAGGAAAAGTCAGGAAAGGTCATTTGAGGGCAGCAGATGGCAGCCATAGGCTACTTGTCAGTCAGAGGAGAAGAGCCAGGCCCACTGCCTAACAGATTTGTATCTTATTATGTCTCTATCTTATTACATAGAGGCTTAATCAGGGTTTGAATTACTGTTTGTAGTCTATGGAGGGTATAAACATTTTTATTTGTAGCCTCTGAAGCGCTGAGAGTGTCTCAGAGTGCTGATCTAAGATCAGGTCATGTCCAAAGTTATCTGTTTCATTATAAAAGGTCAAACTGATCCTAAATCAGCAGTCCTACTCTGAGACACTTGGTTAATATGGACACAGACCTAAATAGGTGTATTTTTCCTGCTAGGAGTGCATAAGGCACCTGATAACTCCTACCGGATGTCTGTCAACATTATTATGTACATTGAGAGACATAGTCGTAGCCATGTCCATAGCGGAGGAATCAACCAGACTCTGAGAAATGGTACAACTTTGACACCACAGATGAGAGGGAAGCTCCATTTTATATCACATTGTTCCTGTCTGCCCAGTGCCCACCCTGGCCATGACTGGTTCTGTTAAAGGTTTAGCCCATCCCAGGTTGCTGTCCTCTCTGAAATAAGAATATGATGAATCATGCTTTTCAGCCCTGATAGCCATTGCATATCATCTCATCTCCACCTCTCTACAGGCAGGACAGTAGGCTGCTGTGACTGTCATTGTCATTGAGCTGTCAGGACATCACATCAGACTGCGCAGAGGGAATGCTCCTGTGAGGCGGGATCAAAGACATTTACAACCTTCCTAAATCATCTCTGGCGGGATATCAATGTTTGTCTGGATTTCTATAGCTCTCCATATAATTTTATAGCGGCGATTTATCTGCTTGCTTCAGCCTATTGTTGCTGCTGTTGTTGTTGCTGTTGTTGTTGGTGAGAGAGAGAGAAGTGTTTGGTGGGTGGAAGGTGTATGCACATTAATTACGCACAACATAATTCACATGAACGATGACATCTGCAGTTACGAAGGCGATGATCGAATCTTACGCACTCATGGTCTTCGTCATGGGGTCGTTTTTCGTGTATTTCTGCGGCATGGTTTGGGCATTCTGCAACCCGAAACTCAGCGGCGTCGAGGAGGAGATGCTTACAGAGGCTCCGGCAGAGGACAACAGCTGCTGGGTGTGCGCCCACCCGCCCCCGGAGCAGATACACTACCACACATGTGCGCACCCCGGTGGGACACCACAGAGGACAGGGGACTGGATCACACAGACCACATATGTGAACTTTTTGGGGGATAGTAGACCTACTGCTGACAGCCTCCTAGCGATGGACCGCACAGGCTTTGCACGTGGAGACAACAGTCAATCGTGGCGCAATTTGTATTGATAGACACAATGCATTTATTTAGACAGTGATGACACGTCTTGTGAATATTTCTATGTTTTTGTGTAGCCTATGTTGTGAGTAGGCTATGTGCAGTTTTGCTTTTATTTCAATGTCTGGTGAAACCTTTCTATTGCTTGTTATCACAGCACAAAAAAACAAGCAAGACAGAGAAACAATGACGTGAAGTGGATCATGCATTTACAGTAGGCCCCATATGCTGGTTAAAATGAACAAAATCATTACACTTAGTTGACGAGATTCCAGTGTAGGTCTACCACTTTTAATCCACAAAGTCATTCAGGGCATCAGTGGGCAGACATTAATAAATGCCATATGGTTTATTGGAATGTTATTACATTATTTGATACATTAAATAATACACATATTATAAAATGTGTTTGTGGAATTCCTTGTGAGGGCTGACAATACATGCAATACAAACACACAATACTTTGTAGCAGCAGCAATGAGTGACATGGTGGCAATCAAATTAGAACCTAATACCAGCAATCATTGTCTGTGAGGCCTCCCAAAGTAGACAAATAAGGCAAACAGTATGCATCATTTCCATCAATGACATAGTGTCAATCAGATGAGTTTTTTTCTCTCCTCAGTCGTCTGCAGGACAGGAAAGGAGTCTCTGTCCATTAGATAGGAGTTATCTCCCGATCAGTGTTCCTTCATTCAGGCTACTGTGGAGTAGCTCTAATACCCTTCTTTTCCTCCAGTTTCCTGCGTACTTTGTCTTCCAGTTCCAATAGCTTCTGACATGTCCCCGTCAATATAGAGTTGTAAATGAGAACTTGTTCTCAACTGGCTTACCTGGTTAAATAAAGGTGAAATAAATAAAAATAAAATATCCATCTGAGAAGGGAACAGAGAGGCGAGCAGACACAGCAGGGGACTGATGCTAAACCAGCCGCTGACTGACAGTATGGTCTGGCAAATGGCTTTCTGGAGTAGATTTCACAAGAATAGAAATGCAAGTCATGACACCAAACAGATATAATAATTACTTAATATTTCATAATTTGGAGGGATGCAATGTTAATCTATAGTTACAATCCACCACTTCAAAATGATCTATCAAGGAATATAATCAGGCAAATTAATATCAATACTTGCCACGCTGATATGATTGAAATTGATATCTTGCTTGGTTGGTAGATAGGTACTCAAAAATGCTGATTGGTACGAAAAAATAGAAAGGCTGGTACTGTATTTAAAAAACAGAACGATAGAAATATGTGATGTACATGTCACGGATTAAAATAACTTGACATTTTTGTGGAAACAGTTTACAACTTTTTATGTGTACAGTATCACTCCTATTTTTGAGTTAGTTTGAATTGACTCTGTGGTTTGTATAGCTATAGCCTAGCTAGTTAGTTTGGATTGACTGGATATCTGTTGTTTGACCCGTGTGGTTCAGTTGGTAGAGCATGACACTTGCAACGCCAGGGTTGTGGGTTCGATTCCCACGGGGGACCAGTATGAAAATGTATGCACTGATTACTTACTGGAAGACACTCTGGATAAGAGAGTCTGCTAAATTACGTGAATGTTTGTATAGCTATAGCCTAGCCAGTTAGTTTGGATTGACTGGATATCTGTGGTTTGTATAGCCTACCTTGTGAGGTTGTGTGTAGTTGTTTCCCAGGCCTGAGGATCCAGACTCAGGTTTTTGCATAAACAGCCAGAACTGCACAATTAAAAGAGGCATAGATTAATCAAACCCTTAAAATGGCATCCTTAAGTCACACCATTAAAATACAAACAAGAAATTAGTGCTAATACTGTGTGCAATATAAATACAGAAAGGTAATATGTTTCCATGGTTCACTGTGAGAGGTATAAGTATTTATTGGTGCTTGTACATACCAGTGAGGGCATGTTATCTGTGGTGAATTCCAGAGCCTCTGCTACATTTTGTGTGTGTGTGAGTCGGTGTGTGTGTGTCTGTGTGTGTACATACCAGAGCCTCTGCTCCATTTTAGGGCTTCAAGGTGAATGTGTTGGTAAAGATTCGAATTTGTTGAACTAAGCAAGAGAGATCATACCCATCATCATGATGAAAGCAAAACAGTGCATTTGGAAAGTATTCAGACCTCTTCCCACATTTTGTTACTCATTTTAGCAGACGCTCTTATCCAGAGCGACTTACAGTTAGTGAGTGCATACATTTTTTTATATATATATATATATATATTTTTTTTTACTGGCCCCCCGTGGGAATTTAACCCACAACCCTGGCGTTGCAAACGCCATGCTCAACCAACTGAGCTACATCCCTGCCGGCCATTCCCTCCCCTATCCTGGACGACGCTGGGCCAATTGTGCGCCGCCCCATGGGTCTCCCGGTCGCGGTCGGCTACGACAGAGCCTGGATTCGAACCAGGATCTCTAGTGGCACAGCTAGCATTGCAATAGAGTGCCTTAGACCACTGCGCCACTCGGGAGACATTACATTACAGCCTTATTCTAAAATTGATGAAATAATTTTTTTCCCTCACCCAATAACCCATAATGTTAAAGCGAAAACAGGTTTTTAGACATTTTTGCAAATGTATTAAAAATAAAAAAATAAAAACCTTTTTACATAAGTATTCAGACCCTTTGTTATGAGACTCGAAATTAAGCTCAGGAAGCCACTCCTCAGTAAAAGGCACATGACAGCCCGCTTAAAGGACTCTCAGACCATGAGAAACAAGATTCTCTGGTCTGATGAAACCAAGATTGAACTCTTCGGCCTGAATGCCAAGCGTCACGTCTGGAGGAAACCTGGCACCATCCCTACGGTGAAGCATGGTGGTGGCAGCATCATGCTGTGGAGATGTTTTAAAGCAGCAGGGACTGGGAGACTAGTCAGGTTCGAGGGAAAGATGAACGTAGCAAAGTACAGAGAGATCCTTGATGAAAACCTGCTCCAGAGCGTTCAGGACCTCAGACCGGGGCGAAGGTTCACCT